CTCCTAAAGTGCCGACGAACCTTCCAAGCTTGCTGCCCACCTTCCAACATACCTCCCAGCCGCCCAACAGACCTTCCCACCCTTCCCACCACCTTAGCATACTGCCTACCTCCTCTAGTTTACTTTCCAACCTATGTTGGCCCCTCTCTTGCATTCACCCTTATTGTCCTTAGCCTCCAGATCTACCAGACTAACCTCTACCGCCCTTGGGACACACTTTCGAGGTGTTTGTTCGTGTCATCTTTTATTTTGCGTGGTTATTTTCAGTTCGGTTATGTTGCAAACCCTATTCCTATATTAATAAAAGTTCGCTTTGTATGTTTCCACTATTTTTTCCACTTGATCCGGTACAACCTTAGGTTGTGGTAAAAGGATGACTTGCAGGACAAATCCACTCTGTTGAAGAACAATTGAACAACCTTTACTTGAGCAGGAGCACAATGTTGAATTGGAGATATTGACTTCACCAAACTTTAATGTAGGTGGAGAAGGTGAAAGTGGTTGGGAGGAACGACAAATGGGTGCAGAGATAAGTGAGTGGTTGACTGTGCTTTAGCTTTCATGGTCTTTAAACCAGAAGCTGGGAAATTATGCTTATTGAATCAGTTTTTAAGTCCACGCCGTAGTAGTTTTTTTGGTGCTTAAGCCATCCTTTGTGCTCTTTAAGCGTGAACCAAACATGACCTAGTTTCCAGCTTTAATATAATGGGCATGCTTTTTTTCTTAAGATGGTATCATCTAATGGCATGATTTTGTTTATGATACCGTTCTAGGGTTCCTAGCAAACTACAAACACACTACTTGCAATCGGAAGATTTACAATTCTCAATAGAGCAAAATTCAGAAAAACATTTCTCAATTCATAAAATTAGAAAGAAAACTAAAAAAATTTCAAAACTAGAATGCAACCTATATAATAGTCCTTTGAGAAAGTAACCTAATTAGAAACTAGAGAAATAAAAAAGAGTCAGAAAGGAAGAATATTAGAAGGAAAGTTGCTGTAAAAATATAAAATAAATAAAAACTGTTTCTCAAGCTCTCTCTCGTGATTGCAGGAATAATCGTGATCCGACAATTGGTGGGGTCACGATACCTTGGAAACGGGTGCGACTTCCACTTCATTTTTCACGGGTATGAGAGGCTGCTTCTTCTTTTGTGGAAACATTTGGATCCCATTGCCTAAGGATATTTTTCATAAAACACTTGCATAGATTTTTAAAATAACAACTCACCACTCCTATCATCTATTCGTAAATGCGCCATTGAATTGACCTAAATTTGGTAGCCAACTTACTCCTTAGGGTCTACCAAAAATAGCTAAAAATTTTCTCATTTCTATGTAATGTAACAACATGTTGGATCACTCTTATTAGTGACTGCCTTGTGTCTGGTATCAATTTATTGAACTCATCATGTTTTGGGACAATCAATATTAGTCTTGCTTGTTGCTTTTAAGACTTGCAAAAATATAGTTTGTGGCACCACATCCTCAAACACCTCAGATTTCTTCCAAGGCAAGAGTACAATGCGCTTCCCATCTTTGGTAAAAGATTGTGTTCTTGTAGTCATCATGATATGTGCACTGATTGTACTGCGAATGACGACCTACTAGGACGTGATATGCATCCATAGGTATCACTTCACACTAAACTTGCTCTTGGAAATTATCTCTGGTAGAGAACTCTAAGAGGCATCTCCTGTCAACATTGATCTTATTGCCTTTCTTTAACCAAGTTAGGGAATATGAGTGAGAATGTTTTTGAGTAGTGAGCCTCAATTTATCTACCAGCTGTATAGATGTCACATTGTCACAATTGCCTCCATCTATAAAGAGGTTGCACACTTTTACCTTCACAGTGCGACAAGTACGAAATATGTTGTGAAGGTGTCATTATTTCTCTTTCATAGGCTCAGTCCGAAAGATCCGTTGAATTTCTAGCATATCTTCCTCATCAGCGAGTAGCATGTACTCCTCTCAATTCTCCTCTTCTGTGTCTTCACCCTCTATCTCCCTCACTGCATTCTGCTTAGTAAAAAGTATCACCACTATGTTTGGACAATCATAAGCAATGTGCCCAAAATCGTGGCACTTGAAGAACTCCCTAATTGGCACGAATTTAGTATTATTGTCAGTCTCCATATTTTCTCCACTCTTTGATGGTTTCTCCTCTTGCGGGGTTGGCTTAGGTGCTCATTGGGCATATTTTTGTGGCCTAATCTTGGGGTTGAACTCTACCTAAAATGTATAGCGATCACCTGGTAATGTTGATGTTTCTCCACTATCAAAGCTAGATTCTGGACATCGAAGAGGGACCAATACAACTACATTTGCACCATATTTTTGATATATGACCCCAACCTTCCAAGATGTCTTGCCACTTTCTGCTCCTTTAGTTCCACCAACTCATAAATTAGCATGAGTTGATCAAATTCTGTTATATGCTCCACGTAATAATCTCTCTGACATAATTTATAATTTTTTTATGAACATATCCTGTCAGTAATATGAGAGAAGATATTTGTGTTGCTTCTCTCTATTTATCTTATATAATATAGTAATTTTATCATTACCTTCTCGTTGCCGAAGATGCTTCAAATTTTCCTTCCACAAAGAAGTAATCATCCTTAATTTAATAGTGGCAAATTTGACCTCCCTGTCGGGTGGAAATCTTTATATACTCAAAGCCCCTTCCACTTCTGAAGCCACTCGATATATTTGTCCAGATCCACACGCCCGTCAAAATCTGACAAGTTGATTTAGTACTCCAATATCCTAACTTCACTGTTATTCAATACCAAATCGACACTACATTAGTGGTTCGTCACTTGAAACTTCTTGGTGGTAGGGATTCACTTCTTCCTCTCAATTTGGAGAGTCACTGTTGTGACTATGGGTGAACTCCTTGAGTTGTCTCTTCTCAAAAACGACCAATCTCTATTGCAACTGGAAGATTTCTTGTTGCATATCCTCTATGGTGATTTCCTAAACACCTTGCCGAGGGTTCTCTTTGGCGGGATAACATCCTTCCCTCCTGATCAGGTTTCTGACAGATATAAGATTGAAAATCAAGGTTGGTCAGATGCTTAGGTTTTTAGGGTAGGTGTAGACTTGAAGTTTTGGTAGAGGTGGATTTACCAAATTTTGAAAACTTAGGGTTAGTGCTATGAATTGCTGCAAAAGTGATTTGGATATGGTGGAGATTTTTTTGGAATTTTGGATTGGATAAGAAAGATGAAACCATAAAACATTTAGGGCTTGTCGGGCAGATACTAGATGATATAGTTCTAAGACTTCTAGAAAGTATTTGAGAAATAGATTTAGAAAGGAGTAGATCGTTGTGGAATAAAGTGGGCAGACTAATAATGTGGTCGATGATATTTGAAAGGGCTTGCGGGGATAAATCTGCTGTTGGACAACATGTTCATCATCATCGACGACAGCCGTAGCTGAAATTAGCAAGTTGGATGGTGTATCGGCGAGATGGTTCCACCACATGTTCCTAAGCTAACTATAAGCGCACCACTTGCAGAAGGAAAATATTACAACACTTCAGAAAATATTACATGTTCCTAAGCTAGTTATAAACGCAGTAGGTGTAAACGTGAACTCTAAAACCAAAATACTACCTATATAAAGGTCCATTGAGAAAATAATCTAATTAGAAACTAGAGAAATAGACATGAACTAGAAAGTAAAGAAAATTAGAAGGAAACTTTCTGTAAAAATAGAAAATAAACCAAAAATGGTTTCTCGGGTCATCTCAAGTGACTCATAATAATCGTGTTCCCATGCTCAGCAGGGTTTCACGCTACTACAAAAATGGGTGCAAAATCCGTGTCAGTTTAATTCTTCTATTCTGCTATCGTTGAATCTCACCATCGACTACGCTGCACCTGTGCAAACTGTAAACTACATACGGAAGTATCGACAAGATTTGCACTGTTTTTTGCTTACTAGCCACTTAAACACTATGTTCCATCAGTTTTTTTTACAGAAATATGCATTTAATTTACTGGTCAGAATCTTCGTTAACCACCCCTTTTGAATTGTGTGTTGCATTCTTCTTATGCTCCTGCATCTCTAGAATCAAGTCGGTGTTGCTTTTTGTCTAACTCGTGCGTCACTTGACCATTAACTTGTGATAAGTGTCAATTGATCTCAGAGGAAAGTTTATTTCCTAAAATATTTTTCTAAGTTTTCATGCAAAAGTGATATTTCTACCTTCGATGCTTTATTTCTCTTCTACTAATTGTGAAAGCATACTATCTTTTCGAAACTTCATGAGCTAAACCCTACAAGGGCAGGAAACAATTATTATCTGCATCTTGAAATTTAATCATCATAACATTTGACATTTTTTATGATGCAAAAGAAGCACAATTTCTATTAACTGCGATGATGGTGCTATGAGATGAATTGGGGGGAACATGAAATTTGTTCGGTGGTTTAATGGTCCAGAAGCTAGTTACGTAACTTACGAGTTAAATTGTAATTAAAGTGTTAGTTTTTCTGGATATGCTCCTTCTGAGAACAGTGTTATGGACATCTCATAATTGAAGTGATTTAAAAGTATATATGGAAGAATAAACTTAACAAAGTTAGAAGAAGTGGAAACATTAAATATTAAATTGAACAAGAGAATTATATTTTTTATTTTATGCTGTTATTTACTAATTTAAAATTGCTATAAAATCATTACTTTCTTGTCTGATACCCTGACTATATTGTCTAGGGTTTTGATTGGTTGCTTATTTTGCTATCAAGCGATTTAATAATATTGATTTGTTGCATGATTGCGTTCATACGGGGTGCATATTTTCAAAGGCCTATAATTGAATTATGCTTTCTTTTGATTTTATTCAGCAATTATGATAACTCGTTTCTACTAAATCTTCTATTTTCCATTTGTATATTTTTCTGCTGAGCTGAGCTGATTTGCACTTTCTTACTTTTCGCTAGATAATTCATCTTATTCACTTTTAAAATTTAACTGCTGCAGCCCACAAACACTTGTTCGAGCTCTGAGGTATGTCCCATATCCTGTGACTCAATCGTTTGCTGCCTCATTTGTTGAAATTTCTTTCTGATGGTCCGTTCAAGCTTTACTTTTGCAAGCATACCAAAACTTAAAGTTGTTTTTTTTATGATTTGTTGTGCCTTATGTTTAATGATTTACAATTTCTGATCATGAAATGGTAATAATTCCATGCCTTATGTTTAATGATTTACAATTTGCCTTCCTCTTCTCTGCTGGATATTTGGAGATTGGTTAAATTTTTAAAATCCATCACTTCCATCGAAATAACTCATTTTACAGATAACTCGTATGATGTAAGAACATTGTAATTTAATACCTTCAATAAATTATGGTTATCAAAACCATAATAGGTGACTGCCTGCACTTTGGTTGACATTTTTGTGCTCTAAACTTTCCCATCGCATTTATTTTAATCATATATGATCCTTGCAAATCATAATGAGAAGAGACGATTAGAAAATGATAGATTATATGGCTAAATTTTATAACCATATGCTATGTTAAAATAGAAGATGGGAAGTTGTGCATGGGCGTCATGTGGGATGCGGATGTGGATTGTGAACGGGACTCCGGCAAATTGGGAATTCTGGTCCAATTTGTTGGCCGGTTCAAGTGGTTTTAGTCGGCCTTATAGCCTTCCTTTTCCTTACTTAACACTAGTATTACATTATTTTACTTGAAAATTATATATATGTATATTGTGGACTGATTTTAGGCACTTTTTCTTTAATTTAAACATTAGAGATCGCTCTTTCTAGTTTTTCTGCCTTAGTGCCATACTTTTGATCTTTCTTGGGTTTTGTGTCTATAACCTGATTAGATCTAGGTAGTAAGCTATTCCTGATGTCTGACAATCTCTTACACCTTCAATCCTTGCCACTTAGCACCATCAGAGCTGGTACTCTATATGGGCTACTACTCTCATGAATTAAGCCTCTAGCTATTAAGTTTATAACTTGGTTTTGCAAGTTCTTGTACTCGGTTGTATCCGGTAGGTAGGTCGATTTGTTTCCAAATCTGGAATTAAATCTATGGCATGCTAGATCTACCTCGATGGTGGCAACCCAAGAAGTAAACTATCAATCGGGACATCTTGAAACTCCCTTGAAAGGGGTTGTCCTAAGTACAATATTGACTCGTTAGACTCATTACTTTTTAGAACTTCCAATCCTAGTCCTATTGGTATTTCTCTGAAGGCTTGTAGAAAGATATGTCATGACTCTATAGTCTTATACTCTATATGAACCCCTTTACCTCAGACTCCTTCCAAGGTAAGAGCACAATGCGTTTCCTATCATTGAAGAATGAATATTTGTTCTTGTAGTCGTTATGATGTGTGCAACGATCGTATTTCCATGGTCTACATCACTTCACACATGCTCGTGAAACTTATATGCAATAGAAAATTCCACAAAGTATCTTCTATCAATTGTGATTTTATTTTATTTATTCAAGTAAGTTAGGGAATATGGTTGAGCATGTTTTTGTGTGGTAAGATTGAACTTTTTTTACCTTTCGGGTATACTACAATCTTACAACTATCTTCATCTAGAATAAGACTGCACACCAACGGGTACAAAGATGTTGTGGCGAAGTTACTGTTGCTCTCTCGTGGGCTCAGTTTGAAGGATTCGTTGAACCACTAGCTTTTTTTTTTTCTTGGGTTGGATGTTGATACTCATTCGTGTCTTTACTTTCTTCCTTGTCATTTTCTATGTAATAATATAATTTTTTTGTAATATAATTAAAAATAATTAAATAATAATTAATAATACTAATGACTGTAAGTAATGTTATAATTAAATTTGGATTATAAAAAATCAACTATTTTCCCTCTCATGCCACCTACCAATGTTAGGTGTCAGTCAAGTAAACTCCTCGCCTCTCGCATGAATTAAATTGAGGGCTCTCATGCTCTCCATTCCTCATTCTACGTAAATGGGGAGTGAAACAGAGAGCGAACAAGGGAGGGAAGGCGAGATGAGACCGAAGCAAGGTAAAGGTAGATCGAGCGGCTCTCCCTCCCTTTAGTCGTGCGAGCAAGAGTGCACGAGAGCGAACGAGAGCGAGAGCGAGGGAGAAATGAGAAGGCACGAGTGGGGGAGGAGAATATTGAGCAGGCAAGCAACATATAGATTTTTGTGCATATATGACGTTTGAACGAGCGTCTATTAGCTCTGAATGCAGGGAATGACACAACAACGAGAGGGAAAAATGGGTTTTCATCTTTAGGTAGGAAATTAGAAATCAAAGCTTAGTATTTTTTATTGTTCTTTTTAATACTAGAAAAGTTGATTCTTAGCTAAATTGAGTTGAAATGAGAAACCCTAAAATTGAAATTTCCCAATTTTTGCTAAATATGTATAAGCATTTGGTGGAGACAAAAAGAGAAAGGTTTTGCTTGGGGGAGAAAATTTCACGCATAACATTCAATTTTCATATTTAATATCTAACTTCTTTGTAAATTATTGTTTAGATTAAGTCAGATGCTCAAAACCTAGCACATTTGGGATGCTTTTGTTATGCCCGTAACTCAACCGGTCCAGGCGGGACTTGTTGAGCAACAAACGAGCGGCCCAACCATCTTGTCCAAGAGCTGAACGTTTCAACAACTGAAAGATCCAACAACCGAAGAATCCAACAAACAAGAAAGGTCCATGAGGGCATTAATCTCGTATGCAAGGTGGTGAAATTGGAGGAGTTTGGGAGAAAATTTTGGGTGAAAGTTTGAAGTGCCGTGAGAGAATTGTATTAAGGCTAATTACCTAGGGTTTGCTTTTTTCTTTATGCATGTTTTGTTGGCTGTAGATTTCTTTTCTTGTTGTGGTGTTTCTAGCGACTTTAGGGTTGTTGTGGAGATGATTTACCTCTCGAATGGTAGATCATCATTGAATCTTGTTTGTTTTCTTTTTATTTTTGTGAGAACACCCTCGCTTGAGTTTTTCCACCTATATATTACAATTTTGTCATTGTTTGCTTATTGATTTTGATTCTGGATCATATCAATTTGGTATCAGAGCAAAATCTTAAACGGACGACAACAAAGAAAGTGGATGTGCTGGAAGGAGAAGTTGGCAAATCAGATCGAGAATGGAAGAAAGGCTCGCCACCATGGAGGAAAGGTTTTCTTTCATAAAGAGCCGAATGGAGGTCAAATTCGAGAGCATATGAGAAATGCTAGAGATGATGAAGAAGTTCATGGAGATGCAAGACCTTGACGACCGATCAAGTTGCAAACCCTAACCATGGGTTTATTAACTAATTCTTGACTAGATCAAAAGGGAAGGAGATTGAACGAGAGGACAATGAGACGAACATCATCTACACTAAGTATGTAACATCATCTATACTAAGTATGCCCCCCTAGGATTTCGAGAGGGGGGTGGGGACTTCCAATGGAGGGGACTAGGCCAAAAATTGGAGGGATGTTGCAAGAGGCACGAAAGAGCATGATTGAGTGAGGAGGGAATCGAGAGTGGGGTATGGCTATGATCGAATGAGGGAGTTTCACCCCAGACACCTCGTGGGAAACACTGGAGGAAGTGTAAGTAGGGTGGAGATGCAAGTGTCAGAAAACAAAGATGCTGGTATTTGAAGGAGAAGATGCACATGGGTGGGCGTATCGGGTGGAGCACTACTTGACAGTCAATGGGCTAAGTGAAGAAGAAAAGCTCATGGCGGCGAAACTATGTTTGGAAGGAAAGACACTAGTACGGGTTCTATGGATGGGGACAAGGTATCTGATGCATTCATGGGAAAAGTTTAAGAATTGTTTGTTGGAGTATTTTCGAGCTATTCGGGAAGGAAACCTACACGAGCAAGTCTATACTTTGACTCAAGAGGGACAATCAAGGAGTACATGGATAGATTCGAGTTTTTGTCAAGGCGATTGAGGGGCATTTTTGCAACAAGACTAGAAGGGAACTTTTTGTAGGACCTAAAGCCCGACATCCGAGTGGCCATTCGACCGTTGAGACTGCGTGGATTGAGGGAGACGATGGAGCTCGCCCAGATGATGGAGGACAAAAAATATGTGAAAAAGATCAGCAAGGGTGTTAACACAGGAAGATTCTACAAGAGTGCCTTGATAGCCATAATACCGAGGACCCCGACGGTGTCATTTCAAAAAGACTCCAAAGCAGGTGGGTACTCGTTTTAGGGGTAATTTCAAGCACCTTACTGATGCAGAAGTGCAAGATAAAAAAGAAAATGGATTATGTTACCGCTATGATGAGAATTATGCCCCAGACCACCGTTGCAAGGAGCATGCCCTTTAGATCCTTTTAGTTCAGAAAGAGGAGAAAGAGGGTGAGCAATTAGAGGAATATGTAGTGGAGGAGCATCTGCACTTGGATGTAGCAGAGATGTCCCTCAATTCAGCAGTGAGATTTACTATGAATCACACGATGAAAGTGAGGGAGCGGATCGAGAAACAACCAAGTGTGCTGCTAGTGGATAGTGGGGCTACTTATAACTCTTTCTAATCAGGTCGTGGGTCAGTTAAGGCTGGAGCTGGTGACTACAGGGACCTTCGACGCCATGATTGGAACGGGGAAGGTGGAAAAAAGTCGAGGAATTTGCAAGAGCTTGGTTCTGACATTACATGGCCTACAGGTGGCAAAGGACTTCTTTCCCTTGGACTTGAGCAGTACATATGTGATTTTAGGGATGAGGTGACTATAGACGCTTGGTGAGATGAAGCGGAATGGAAATCACTGACGATGGAGTTCTGGATGGAGGGTGGTGTTGACCTCAATTTTTCGTGAGGTCTAGTATTCCTCGTAGGAGTTAGGATCTAGCCTTAGGGGTCTTCCTGCGACTATCTTAGAACCTTAGAAGTGGGACCCGCCTCGTTTTAGTTCGACCCGCTTCCGTCCCTTTCTGGAGTTTCGCGTGTGTGGTATCAACTTCTAGCACTTAGAAGGACGAAACCAACATGAGGAAACCCAAAAGGGATTCCCTATAGGACCTTTCCGAGCCTTAGGGTG